CCACCCCCGGCCTAGCAAATGTCTCGGTGCCCTGGGCCTGGGATGGGTGTTGTTATTGTTAGCTACGTGCCCTCATCTCCCCCGTCCCGCACCGCCGCCCGCCGGCCCGCATCCCACGCGCGGGCTCGATATCCCGCCGCAGCCCTATGGCACAGCGGGGCGGCACGATTCAAGGTGACGGAAATTGCGACATCTTCGAACAGCTCCGATAAGGAGTTCCGCTGGTTTCGTGGTGTAGTTGGTTATCACGTCAGTCTAACACACTGAAGGTCTCCGGTTCAAGTCCGGGCGAAATCATTCTTTTGCCATTGTTTTTTTGATTGCATTGGCGATTTCTGCCCAAGGATATTTTTGCTGTCGGCAAATTGGGCAGCTAGATAACACCAGCCAGCTAGTCAAGTAGTCTTCGCTATCAACCCCGTCCAAAGTGATGCTTCTCTCGCCTACAGCAACTGTTCTCAAGACACATCTCGAAAGTCACTCAAAAACTCCGTCGAGACCGCTGTTCAACCGCTCGTAGCTAAACTGGTCCAAGATTGACAAATATGGATACAGATGACAATGGACTAGTTCTACAATGCTCTCGCCAAATGTACGCAAAGTGAGGGAAGTCGGATTATGTACAAACGTGTTAAAGGGTTCGACCCATGCCTCCCAAGCTGTGTGCGTTAAGCCCTGGTTTCACCGCCGCCAAAACCCGAAGCTCCCCGCCGCCGGCCAACAAAAAAAGACATGAAATAACAGCAAACGGGCTTTTTTTTGGTTCTTAACATCGTCCCGTCCTGATATTTTGATTCGTCCCCCATTACTCGCCCCGGAACCCATTTCCCGGGGCTGTTACCTGCTCCCCCATTTTTTCCGTCACAGGAGCTTAAACTACTACTCTTCTTCTTCTTACACGGCGCCAGTTGGTGAGTTGTGTGGGTGTGATTACTTCAATTCAGTCGGAAAAGTGTAAATCCTCTCCTTTACCTGGGCATACCCGGGCTGATACCCTGCAACTTCGCTGCCAGCTTGGGGTACTTCTCTTGCACTTGGAGCTGCGTGCGTGTCGCTTCGGCGTACGACAGAGCGTTGACGATCTCTCCTTCCGTGCGGGCGAGCTCGGCAGCGCGCTCGAAGTACTTGAGAGCCTCGGTGACCTTGCCCTGCTGAAGGAGCAGCTGGGCCATGGTTGCAACGGCGATGTCGCACTCGGGGTCGACTGTATGTGATTAGTCTCGCGATTTGAAAATAAAGACGGGGTGTGCATACTGATGAGAGCCTTTTGGCAAAGCTTCTCGGCTTCGCCAAAGTCCTGCTTCCACTGGAAGAGGGTCAGGGCCTTGTTGATAAGGGGAAGAACGTTCATGGCCATCGGCTTCGTCTTCGACTCCATGTCAATCGCGGCGTCGAACTTCTCGATAGCCTCCTGGAAGTTGCCCTGGTCGAGGAGCAGCTCTCCGTAGTAGTTGTAGACGTCGGGGACGTCCTTGAAGTTCTTGATGCAGCGGCGGAAGGTCGACATGGACGAGGCAATGGAGCCCATCTTGTATTGAGTGACACCGAGCTGGATGTGAGAGAAGATGAAGTCGCGGTCGAGGTCGATGGACTTCTGGTAGTCCTTGGCGGCGTCGGAGAACTCGCCCTTGATGAAGTGCAGCTGGGCACGGTGGTAGTAGATGTCGGGATCCTCGGCGTTCTGCTCCATGGCCTTGTCGAAGTCGTCGGCAGCCTTCTCGGGGGCACCAAGCTCCAGGTTCATGCTAGCACGCTTGATGTAGCTCTGGGTCATGGAGGGGTCGAGCTCAATGCTCTTGGACAGGTCGCTCATGGCGTCGTCATGCTTTCCGAGCAAGCAGCTGAAAGTACCGCGGAGGTTGTATGCGAGAGCCTCGAACCCCTCGAGCTCACCCAGTTCCAGGGCCTTCTCGAAGGCCGCCCTCGCCTCCTCGTAGCCGTCACCAGTCTTCTTCTCCAAAGCCGCAAGGCCGAGCTGCAGCTGACCCTTGCCAGTCTCCTCGTCCAGCGCAATAGAGTCCTCGAGACCGGCCGGGCGGGGCTTGACGCGGAAGCTCTGCAGGTAGTTACCGACGAAAGTGTGGCTGGGCAGCTTGTTGGGGCGGTTGGCCATCATCTCCTGGGCCTTCTGCTCGGCAAACTTCTTCAGCAGGCGCTCGACGGCCTGCGCGCTGTTCTCGTTCTTGAAGCTGTCGATGATGCAGGAGGCGGTGAAATCGAGGAGAGCCTCGCCGTACATCTTGAGGTGCTCGTAGGCGTTGGCACGGCGGTTCAGAGCCTTGACGTATTCGGGGTCGAGGTTGATGGCGGCGGTGGTGTCCTCGACAACCTTGTCCCAGTCGCCGAGGGCATTGTAGCAAGCGGCACGGTTCGAGTAGAAAATGGGGTTGGCCTTGCAAAGGATGGCCTTGGAGTAGAGGTCGATGGCTTGGTTGTAGTCCTTACCGCCATAGGATTTGTTACCGGCGTCCTTCAACTTGGCGGCGTACTTCTCTCGCTCTTCTTGGGTGAAGCTCTGGACGGACGTCTCGTCGATCTCGGGAAGCTCTTCGGGGTTCTCGGCGGCGGCCGTCGGTTGCGCAGCAGCCTCCTTCTGTGCGGGCGCGGCCTTCTCTGCCTCGGCGGCCTTGCGTTCGGCCTCCCTTCTTTTCCTTCGCTCCTTCTTGCTCAGCTTTGGTGTATCATCCTTCTTCTTGAATCGCACTAAGGTCAGCTTTTGATTCCGTGCAGTTTGACCTGGCAGGGCTGGCGGAGATGGCCAAGATCCCAGTCGTAGCGGCCGTGTGGAAAATCGGATCGCATGACGACAGCCAGGTGCCAGGAGCAGGCAAGACACAAGAGTAAAAACGTACGGAGTCGCTGTTGAGGAAGTAGATGACGCCAGCACCGGTAGCGACGACGGCAACACCTGCAGCGGTATAAACGACGGCCTTGTTTTCTGAAGCCCAAGAGGTGATGCGGTCCCAGAGTCCGGAGGAGGAATCAACCGGGATAACGGTCGGAGTCTTTGCCAGAGGAGGCACGGAGGGGAGGGGATTGGACATATTTGTGGTGGCTCGAGGCAATTGATAAAAAGAGGAGCAGAGGTATCAAGGGTGGTACAGGAAGAAAAGTCGTAAAGTCGACAAGGACTAGAAGTGTGTGAATGGGCTGACCAGTGCGAGGGCGGTCTGGTTCGATGATGTAGGCAAGTTGCAGGTGCAGGTGCAATTGCAGGAGCTGGCTGCTGTGATGCTGATGCTGCTTGCTGGCCGTTTGGTGGTGGTGGTGGTGGTGGTGGTGGTGGTGGTCTCTGTCTGGTCTGTTTGCTATGCGCTGGACTGGGGCCCAGGAGCTTCCGGCACAGCGCGCAAAAAATTGTTGCGCGACGGGGCAAGCTCGTGAGGAGTTTTTCCGGCCTAGCACCACAGTCTTCTGGGTCGAGCAACTGTCATTGACCAAATCAGCTTGGCCTCAGGCGATTGAAGAGTGGGGTTGGCAAGGGAGGGCCGCCTATGAGCCTGCAAACTACGTAACCAGTGAGGGCCCTGGCGCTCCAGGTCGCAAAGATATGTTGGTCAGCCAGCAGGGTGCCTTTCGCTTTCGTGGTCTGGGCTGACGATTTTTGTTGTTTACTGTCTTCATTAATAAGCTGCTGTCTTTTGCTGAAGCTTGCGAAATTTTGATGTGCACCCGTATTGCGCCCTCAAATCGAATCAATTGAAGACTTGTGGAATCGTTGGGCATTTACACAGTAGGAACGATCTCCCAGACAAATGCGAGAGCTTCAATCGCCAGGGATCTGGCTGGAGTACCATGTCGTCATATTCTCCTGTATTCTCATTTTGGGTTCACTAGCCTGGCGTCCTTCAGAAAAGCATTCGATGGAAGTCTTCATTGCTAGAAAAACTCTGTACACTGCTTCTGTGCTCCTTAAAAACTTGTGGTGTGTACAAATCTTCTGAAGATGGATTGGCTACGCATCGTGCAAATTACACGAGTAAGAGACTCGCAGCTACATACGGCTAGTTGGATATGACTTCTTTCCTCAGCGACAATTAGCCAGTTCGGCATGACCTAGCGTCAAGAGACATGGAGGGGTCGTTTCCAGCTCGAGACTTTGAAATTGTCTTACTTGTGCTGGCGCAGAATGGCCTTCGGAGTGTTTCATTGAGAAGATGTCTATAGACATTGGTTCTGAAGAGATGCTTGCTTCTTCTGGGTAATGTGTGGTTGTCCAGAATGAAAAAGGCTTGAAATAAGGTACTCATCATGTGGCAGAGCCGTAACATCCAGCGCGTATTCCTTGAAGAGCATCTCCAGAAATACCTCGGCGCGAGCCCTCGCTCCAGTCGTTTATCAGCACCCTCCGAATTACTGTGCTAATCAAAACGTTTTTTGAAAATTTTCATGTTGATCATCACATCAAACTAGGAGATTCTCCAGACCATTGGGTTCCGCACTTTGTTCATATACAATTGGGACTACAGGCATTCAGTGATAAGGAGGTTACTAGCTGGGCTGATGAAATTTGAAGTCTCGGGTGGCCAAGATAAGAGTTGATCTTAACAATCTATCTCAAGCTGCTAACGGAAAATATGCATTAAACATATGTCTTGAACCATGAAGTTGTGTTCATCCCCATGAGTATCAACAAAATGATTAGATGGGTAGTTGAAAGTGACCAGTGGAGATGGAAGGCAGTGAGAAAGTGTGCTTATGTAACCTACACTGCAACTCGCAAAATTGTTAGTGCCGTCTCATGAGCGACTTCCGTGCTGCAAGCGAGAAGACTCAGAGTGCTTCTGGCTGACCTTGACCACCGTCGCCGTCTAAAGTCAAAGCCCGGTCACAGCACTTGTTGCATCGGCAAACTTACCTACATCAATCAGAGTGGCTCTTTTACTTCTGCGTCTCTCCTTCAAATCTGCCTTCTCGTCAAGATCGCCGATCTGACAATCATCGACCATCCTACATCGCACCGCACACCTTGAGTCAACAGCTTACAGACAGTCGCAAATATGGCCAATCAATTTGAGCTTTTCACGTCGCTCCGTTTCGACCCCGGATTGCTGGGCGTCCCAAAGAGGCGTTTGGCTAATGCGGGGTGGAACGCCAAGATGACCTCCCCGTACTACATGCTCGACCTCCACCGGGATCGGATGCTTAGAGCCGCAACACATTGGAACTGGACTCCTGCCGTTGAGGCTATCGCCGGCGAGACCGGTCTGCGGAATCTCGCAGACGCCGTCGAGACCTTCTTGGCTCAGCATGGCAAGGAAAGCCCACTGAGAGTCAAGGTCCTGCTTACCTCGGACGGGAAGCTTAGCTGTGAAGCATCACCAGTGCCCCCGGTGCCGTTGCAAAACCTCTTTCCCGAGAGACTCCCACCACCTGGAAGCTCGAAGGAGACCAGCGATCCCTCTGAGGAACCTCTTATGGAGGTCGTAGTAGATGACACCGAGACATCTCAATCGGAGTACACCCACTTCAAGACTACCAAGAGGGCCATGTACGACACTGCTCGGGATCGTGCGAGCATTGCGCCGACGGACCGAAAGGAAGTCCTGCTGGTCAACTCCAGAGATGGCACGATCATGGAGGGCAGCTTGACTACTCCCTGGTTTTGGAGGAACGGTAGGTGGGTGACACCTCCGGTATCTGCCAAGTTCAATCCCGATGGCGGGAGCGGTGGTCAAGATGGAACCACTCGCAGATGGGCTCTTGAAAGGTGAATATCCTGACATATCACGTCATTCGCGCCTGCCTGCTGACTACGTGCTCAGGAACCTGGGTGCTGAAGAAGAGGTCAAGGCCGACAGTCTTGTCCACGGTGAGTCTTGCTGGATCAGCAATGGTGTTCGCGGCTTCACTTTTGGCAAGGTACGGCTCAGTGCCGCATAACAAGCTTGCGTTCTAAGCTCTTGTCGATTTATGAGTCCAGGAGGCGCATGATATCATGATATGATCAGAGCAGCCTACTATGGGCGGTTCATCGAACCAATCATGCGAACTTCGGCCTTGATAGCAACCACTGCCATGTTGAATCGCCATCTTCTGATTCGAGATGAACGCCTATCTTTGGGGCATATGTGTATTGCCGAGATGTTATATCCGGATGGAACATCGAGCATGGATCCAGAAAAAGAACCCTGACGACATCACAATGCCAAGTTCAGGTCCAGCGATTGCAGAACAATCAGGAGGCCTCGTCTCCTTGCATCGTGCTTGGCAGGGTATCCAGGAATCTGGAGTCGATCGGCGCCAAGACGGGACATGGCCCGCTAAGCTAATCCCTGCCCCGGAACCACCGTGCGGCGTCCGTTACATCATTCTGTAGGCGGGGAAGACCTCATCTCCCGGCCGATTTGTTCATCAGACCAAGCTCGTCGTCAAGCAGTAACAGTTTTGGCTCACGAGCCGTCTCTGATTTGCATGTGCCAATCCCCTTCTGAATCACGGCAGCTGGTTTGACCGGCGCGTATTGAGGTAGGCTGCTTGAAAGTTCAGGTGGCCGAAGTTCCCGCGGGGCATCTCCAAAGTAGAGCGACTGTGACAAGTCCAAATCGCTCTGGTGTTTCCATAACGTTTCCCCCTCTTTCGCGTTCATTTTGAACCACTTGTTCATCGACGACTCAGTCCAGCTCCACCGGGCCATTTTGTACCCTAACCAACTGCCTCATCGGGCTGGACCGAGGGCCAGACTTCTTCCCTTTTCCCCCCTATCCCCATGGGAGCTCTGAGCACGGGCGAAAGGTCCGAATGCGCGTTGTCACGAAAGCTCCGTTTCAAGCCTGCGGTTGCACCGCCCCACCTCCCGTGCCTTGTTCTGAACTGTCACACTTCAATGCCGGCATGAGCTCTCTCTCTCATGACAGAAGACACCCAACCCGTCACTTCAGCTGAGCAGTCGTCAGCGAAACGTTAGCCCTGCCGTTTTATAAGTCCCGGGCAGGCCACCGCATGATTGCTGCGCCAACACCCCTTGGTGATATTTATCTTCCTTATCTACCGACAGATCACATCTAGAGCAAAGCAGGTTTTCCACCTACGCGCCCGTAACCCCCTCTCACGACTCACTTCAGCCCGACCAGGTTCTGAAGGTGCCGACATTCCGATCAGTGATCGCGGTACTTGCTTCTTACCCAAACGGGCAGGTATTTAAACGCCAGCTCAACCCAAAGAGCGAGCTTGTTTCGCAAACAACCTTCAAACTCAACTCAATTCATCCTACTGTCCACCGACTCAAACTAGTGCAACCAGCTCCTTCCTTGACCACAGCTTCATACATGAACACGATGGAGGCATTCCTGCAAACCCAGGCAAAGTTCAAGCTGGACAAGGGCCTCGCCAAGATCCCCGCCGCCTTGAACAAGAACTACCAGCGCCATGGCACCAAGTCGTACGTTCACTTGCTCAACAAATACAAGTTCGAGCCCACCAAAGCTGGCCCCTATGTCCAGACTAAGAGGATGGCGCAAAGGGGTCTTGCTGCCCCGGGCTTCAATGCCCCTCTCGGCGGCCGTGTCTCCTTGAAGAGCTTTTTGGTGAAGAAGACCGACTCTGGTGAACAGAGCGGGGAGGTCACGGCGGAGGACCAGCAGTACGACTCCATGTACCTCTGCGAGGTGTCCATCGGCACGCCGCCGCAGAAGTTCAAGCTGGACTTTGACACCGGCTCCTCTGACCTTTGGGTATCCTTCCCGAATGACCACTGCCGCCATAGCAATCACTAACACGGCCGATAGGTCTTCTCAACTGAACTCAGCAGCTCCCTCCAATCCAACCACAACATCTTCGACGCCTCCAAGTCCTCCACGTTCAAGAAACTCGACGACCTCTCGTGGAAGATCTCGTACGGCGACGGCAGCTCCGCCTCGGGCGACTGCGGCACCGACAATCTCGTCCTCGGCGGGCTGACGGTCGAGAACCAGGTCGTCGAGCTCGCGCAGCAGCTCGCGCCGCAGTTCTCCCAGGGCACCGGCGACGGCCTGCTCGGGCTGGCCTTCAGCTCCATCAACACGGTGCAGCGCGACGGCAATATCCGCGACCCGCAGAAGACGCCCGTCGACAACATGATTGCGCAGAAGGACGTCCCCTCGGGCGCGGAGCTCTTCACCTCAGCCTTCTACAGCGAGCGCGACGAGGGTAACCCCAAGTCGTTCTACACGTTCGGCTGGATCGACACGGACCTCGTCTCGGCGTCCGGCGAGGAGATCCACTGGACCGAGATTGACAGCTCACAGGGGTTTTGGATGTTCGAGTCCGGCAGCGCGAGCGTGAACGGGAAGGCGGTCGGCAAGAGCGGGAACAAGGCCATCGCCGACACGGGCACGACGCTGGCGCTCGTCGCGGATGACGTGTGCGAGGCGCTGTACGCCGCGATCCCCGGGTCCAAGTACGACGACCAGCAGCAGGGGTACGTCTTCCCGACGAGCACCAAGGCGGACGACCTGCCTGAGTTCAAGGTCGCCGTTGGGGACAAGGAGTTTGTGATTCAGAAGGAGGACTTGGCGTTTGCGCCTGCTGAGAACGGATGGTGGTATGGCGGTGTGCAGTCAAGAGGGTCAAACGACTTTGACATTCTTGGTGACGCATTCTTGAAGTCCATCTATGCTGTGAGTTGCTTCTGTTTACGAACCATGTGATGAGGTGGCGGTGCTGACTTTGCTGCAGATCTGGGACCAGGGAAACACTCGCTTTGGATGTGTCCCGAAGATTGAGAAGACACAGAACCTGACTCCGCCATCGGGCTCGGCAACCGGGCCCAGCAAGATTGAGACAATCAACAGAAGGTGGTAAACAACATACGGTGTTGACGTTGAGATGGAAGAAACGTATGGCGGAATATGACTTATGAATAAAGCAGCAATAAACGATTCAAATTAACACATGAACTTTCGACACTATCTCGCTACGTCTTGTCCGTGATCTCTGTCTGCTTACTTACCTGCCAAAGTACACGACCACCCAACAGCTACATACTTGGCCAAGCCCATTCGTCAACCACATACAAGAAACCAGGTACGAGGATGAAAGAAGACGATGCACATGAAATGGGTAACTGACAAATGCCTGAAAGATGTTTCCTTGGGACATAGCATTGCCCACAAGGTCCTCAAGGCATGAAATGCGAAAAAAAAAGGGGGGGTTGGTGATATTTTACCCTCTCACCGAGGCTCGAACGTATAGCATTTCGAGCTAGGGCTTTCTGGGATCACCAGGCGTAGACCACTCGACCTTAGAGTCTTCGCTATGACGAGTGGCTACGGAAAGAACAGAACTGTTTCTGCCTATAGACCTCGTACGCTTGGTCAGCGTGTGCCGCAGAGGTGGAAGGCTGCCGCTTGAAGCAGATTTGGTCCATCAGGGTTGCGTTGGATAGAGTTGAAGTTATTCAAGTCACGAACCCAAGATTGACAGGCACCTTGGGACCGCAAGACGTGATAGGCTGTTTTCTTGTCCAGGAAAGGCACCGTCGACGAGGGAAGACACGGTAAGTTTCGACAAATGAAGACATGGCAGGAAACCAGAGCTTCCTGGGCGTCATGGGACTTCGAATGCGTGACCGGTCGTTTCTTTCCACCTCTGGTCTTGGCCAAGTATCACCTGGTCTAACATCAGCCAACTGTGCTCCTTCATAGTACAGATTCGGAGTCTTCGGAGTCGAACATACTGAGAGTGAAATCCAAGTTTGAAGACTCTGAGACCAGGGTCGACCACCTATTGACAGTAGTACTTCAAGAGGGAGAGATCACTCGCCATCAAGATGACGGAGAGGATACGGAGCCGATATGTAAAGACCGGCTCGGACAGCAAGCCAGTCGTCCAACCGGCGTCCGTGGTTGGTTCCTGTATTGCATAGAGGCTGACCGTTCATGAAGATAAGCTGAACTGAACCACTCAGCCAGACTCCCTCGCTCTTGGCGGGGGTCTAAGTTTGCCCTGTTCCGGGCCACCAGTTGTCATCCCATCCTGGGTTTCGAGGGGGCACATGGTTGGCAGGGCCAGTAAGGTTCGATGCGAGCGCAGGCAGATCCGGGGCTGTCCCAGCGTCGAGGGACTTGAAACGGTGAGCCGGCACATCGCCCTAGGCGGGTCCGGAGTGTCAGACGAGTTGTGAAGCACAGTCTGGGTCTATGATTCCATTGACCCAGAGCACTGGGATTTCTGGGCTATTGCGGAATTCCACCATGACCTTTTTTCACATGTTGCGTGTAGGCGCTGTACACATGTTAACGAAAATGGCCCACGGGTAACGTGATCAGGACGGTGCATGTAAGGATGGAAACATGCCAGTTGAAGAGGTTACGTCCGGACCGGAGACGAGACTCTGGACTCTTCGAAACAAAAAAGCAAAAGCGGGTCCTGTTCAGCTCCGTGACGGTCGTGGATTGGTGGAGAGGTTATTCTTGGAGACGAAGTGGCATGGATGGTTTGACAAGGCCCCGAGCTTGGGTAATGAGGTGGGATTTCGGTGAGGTGGGCGAAGAAGCTCCAGAAAACCAGCAGCAAGAGAGGGACTCTGGGAGTCACAGCCCAGGCTGGGCCAGGCCCCAAGGTCGGGCCCAAAACAGCGTGGCACTTCCGGCACGCCGGTCCCAAGGGAAGCATCCTACTGGCTGAGGGGCATGACAGCGAATGGGGGTTTGGGGGAACACGAGTGACGAGTGTGCAGTTGCCGGCCAGCCAGCCAAACGGCCGGCCGGCTTACGGAAGCACAGCCAACGCAACATGAGCAGCTGCAGCAGCAGCAGCAACAACAGAAAACAGCAGAAGCAGCAGCTGCAGCAGCGTGCCTCCCCTCAGTTCCATTGCTGCTGGTTGCTGAGGGACTGATACGCAAAGGTGTGTCCCAAGAACACCCGGACCAGACAGGCCAGCCGAGGATGGATGACAGCACC